TTAGCATGGCATAGCCCGAACATGTCGACATTCTTGCCCGGACGTGAAGAAGTCGCCGGGCTGTTGGCAGGGCCTACATTCTCTACCATCTAAGGCATATATTTTATGTCCCATAATGTGGTCCAAGGTAACTCGAGTCCTAGACTATGTTTGGCATAGTTTGAGCATCCGTCAAAGGGCATCCGTTAGAACAGGGTAGCTTTTGCAAGACTGTATCAAAGGCCAAAGAATCTTCCTCCGGCCTGGGTCTGTTCAGGTCATTGCCAAGGAAGCCATTGCATCCCTAACTAGGTCTTATTCGGTCACTAGGACCTTGTAGAAGCTTTCACATACCAGAGCTCCCAGAACATGCCAGGACCCTTAATCCAAAAGCCCCAATAAAGCGAAAAGCTCTCCAGACCAAAACCCTCAAGTAATTACTGTAGACGTCTTTGCATTAAGTTAGAATCCCGATTCAAGCCCTAAACCCTTAACCTCTTTAAGCCCTACCTGTAGCCGGAAAGACCTCCAACCGTCGTTCGAAAAATCGGTGTAGGTCTCACGGTCCGAACCCCGGCAGTTGCTCACTCAAGGCTTGTGGGATTAATCGAGTATCCTGTCTTTGTCCAGGGGCAGGTCGAGCAGAGGACACAAGGTTCTCGAATGGTTTCTGCAACCGTGTACAGAAGTGTCCTCTCAGAGGTCTTGTAGGGTTCGCGGTAGTGAGGATAAGCACAGGGCCACATACTTGCGGCATCTTACCTGCATGCTTTAAGGATTTGTGTTGTTGAATGTTGGAAAACGTTAAGAGAAAGCACATGCGATCCCTACGATCGAAGCAGCCCTGGCAATCAGAATATGCTCCTGATGGATGCCTGGGCGTCCGATGCCTCAGTGCTCGCACGTGTGTTTGAGTATCCCCTGGGATCACATCTCGAGGGTTCATTCCTGGACTATGGTGCAGGCTGCCATTTACAAGGCTGAAAGTAAGGCAGGTTTGAGGACTGCTTCTTTTTGCTATATAAAGCAAAGTACTGATCGTCACAAGCGGAGGCTTGCCAGAACCCGGAGTCATCATACACTGAGCCGCACGCTTCGGGTCTCTTGAGTGGTTCCATCTAGCAAACATTTCTTCGGAAGGAAGTTTCAGAATTCAATCTTTTACAAAAAACAGCACCCCAATAGGCCCGCGCCCCAAACCCGGCACCAAGACTTACTCCGTAATATTGCGTACGGAATTTCTACCAATCTCATTCCTTCGGGTCCCGTCTAGTTTTAATCATGTACCACCAGAAACATAATCGAATTTTGAGGGATGCTGAAAACCAAACCCCCGAACCCTATCGTAAGAATGCTGTAAGGGACCTGGTTTAGAATCCTTCAAAGGAACCCTGTTCTAGTCATTAAGGCCCCTGTGTTGCGCACGAACGCCCAGGAAGACCAGAACCTTACACCTTGGGTACTGCCCCCATACAGTAACAGTCCATGAGGCTGTTTCTATCTAGTTATGATACTAATATTGTTCAACTGACAGTGAGTGGGGAGCAGTACGTATCCTACTTACGCCCTATCAAAATCCAAGCTCCAACCCCTGACATCCTGAACCCTGAGATTTCACGCGCTGAACCACTCCAACCCTAAACCCCAGCGCATAAAACAACACGAGAACCACAAAACCTTTTAGGGTTTAGGCTTTAGGGTCTTAAACCAGCAAGGCACAAAAATCCTGAAGCCCTAGCCTTCAGGACATAAGGGTTTCGGCCATGCTGAGGCAGCAGTCCTGCATCGACATCCTCATGAGGTCTGGTTGCGTTGCGGTTAAGGTTGAGGTTGAACATCTGCACACCCTAACCCTATACCCTAGACCCTAGCCCTAGGCCCTGACCCTGAACCCCAAACCTTATAAACCCTAAACCCTAAACCCTAGACCCTAAACCCTAAACCCCAAACCTTATAAACCCTAACTCCCCTAAAAACCCCAAACCCTAGGAGCTGTGGGCTTCATTTGTTTTGTGTTGATGCGACTAAGGTTTCACCCGGCCTCGTACGGTTTGCGTTCATTACGCACACGTCTGTAGACATGATGGTTCCACAAGACTGCATAGCATGGTTTAGAGGCCATCGTCACACACACACACATATATATATATATATATATATGTGTATATATATATATATTTATCGTTTATTTATATGCATGTATTTCTACATACATAGACACATACACATACATGTAGATCTGTTCAACTGCTGCACAGGTTTTGTCAGGTTTCATATCTTGTTGGGTCCTTGGTGCCTACTTTCTGCAACTCCCATGTAGACACTGGATGGATGGGGTACGAAGCAGCTGTCTACATTGAGAGCGTCACTAAAGTTAGTAGAATTTCTCTCGACACCTCATGCAAACAGTGCATCGGCAGAGCGCCTACCAAAACCGTGCCCAAAAAATCCATGAACATAAGTTTACAATACAAAAAACGAGGCCCTAATTGCCACACACAGCCAAACCCTCAAACCCCTAACCCCCAAACCCTCAACCCCATTTTCTGATGCCTGAGCTCGGGATTTCGGCAGCCGTGGAACTTCACCACCCTACTTGGAAGGGCAGGGGACTTAGTAAGTAGGGTTATAATTGGGGTAACTCCATTTAGGGTACTTATAACTCTACTTACAACCTACTTACTAAGTCCCCTGCCCCTCCAAGTAATGTGCCATGTGCCCGAGTAGTATACACATTGTCTGTAAAGTTGTCCCTCTATAGGTACTTTGGGGCCAAAGTCTAGACTACATGCACCCTTAGGGCAAGTTGAAGGCCCTTGCACCCGACATGTAAAACCTCCATCTTTTTGACTGCCGGAAGCCCGAGCCCATACTACATTCCCTGCAAACCCTAAAAATGACAAATTTAGACCTACAACGCTCCTTTTTTTCAACCGCCCTCATGCTAAAGTGCTTGCAGATACTCACGCCTTTTCTTCGCTTCCCCGGAGAACAAGGAATCGATTGCTTTTGGTGCTGCATGTCCTTGATAGTCAGGGGTTGCGGGAATTGAGTTACGTTCCTTTCCCTGGTGATGAACGGATTTTGCAGAGTCTTGGGTAGGGATTGTGAGAGCGTATTGGGTTGGGTGTTGAGGATTCGGGGTTTGGGCATTCCTTTGGAAGTCGTAAGCACATGCATTTGAATCATCATGCTTATCCCCTGCTGGGCCGTCTATACTATTGACTCTCCTATGCAAAGACCAGACCGTAACCTTTAACGTCGAACCCTGGACCCCTAAACCTGGAACTCTGAACACTAAACCCTGAAACAAAAGCCATCAGACTGGGCGCGGCTGTGCATCCTCGTAGTTTCCGCTTGAGCATCGTGTGGCATATCTCCAACGCCCTCTCAATCCCAATCTACCGTTACAGTTATATACTCAGAGACTCCAATATATTGTACGTTAAATCACGATAAGGACACCCCCATGTTTCGATTGCTTAGTTACGTCTCCGGGGTATGCCAAACAAGCAACAGCCAACAACGTAAACCGAGCATAGCAACGCAAGCCCGCCGCTCCCATGATCTAACTGTTTGATTAGGCCTGTCAAAGGCAGAGGCCCTGAACTGCAAAACCGTAATCCCCCGAAAGCAAGGCTGATTAATTACTCCGAAACCCCAACTTGAATGCTGATGAGGCCCCAGTACAGACTCCTGAATACTTAAGACAGAAAGTTTTGGGCTGCCAGACCCCGAAGCCTACTTACGACGAAGATTCAGGTTGCTTCGAGCCCAACTGTATCCTGCTTATAGCATATATGAACCGGATATAAGTTCTTAACTCTAGCCAGTTACATGGGTTGTAAGTATAGTTAAGGTTCGCTTATTGAGATCAACTAGTAGGAAAAAGGTCACCCTTACTATTGTTACCGGGCTACTCAGGAATCTAGGTAACCCCAACGGTCCAAAGGACCAAATAATTAGGTACTCGGTTTTAGGATAGTAGTTACGTAGGTTAGGACTTGGGAGAGTCTATGGTGAATGGGTACTTGGACCCTTGGGGTAAGTTTCAGACACATATCTCTTAGGTACAGCCCCCCTCAGTAATAGTCGAGTAATATTCATTACATGGATATATTTGGACCTTAATAGTAGCCCTATTATGGACTCTTACTGTATGGGGGCCGTACCTAACCCATATCCCCCAAGTCTCCATGTAGACCTCCATCTCCAAAACGTAGGCGGAGGAAAGCGAGGAAGGTGCCAACCTCAACCTCTTTGTCGATGGAGTCCTTCGATGTTCAGGGGCCTCAAAAGGTGGGATGAAAGGTGGGGTAATTCCAAAATAAGAGTCCTTATATAAGGGATCCTTAATCCTGCCTACCTTCATCCCACCTTTTGAGGCCTCCGAGATGTGGCCTCCGGGTCCAGGGTTACCCTTAAGCCCTAAACTCTGGTTCTTTAGGGCGGGGTTTGAGGCTTTGGGATTCGGAGCTTAGGTTTAGAAGCGGAGCAACTAGGTAACCTTTAGCCTTTTGGGGCATCAGAACCCCTAGGTTAAACCTATAGGATATTGGCAAAGTAAGTGCAGTAGCAGCCCAAAAGTTGGAAACCAACTAGCCCGAATCCATAAGTGTGATTTCTCGGGAATCCCACCACTATTTCGCCTTAACCCGATTTGCAGTTTTTAGGTAGGGCTTTGGGACATTTTCTATTTGCTCTTCTTGGGCTTCAGAGGATCTTACCTACTCGTCAGGGTATGGAGCTTGAGGCAGGCATCACGGTTAGGTTTTGCCGGAGCTGAAGTTCGAGTCTAGGGATGTCTAGGGTGTAGGGTTTAGGGTTTAGGGTTATATGGATATCCATTCGATTTTGGTTCTTAGAGTCCTAGGGCGTGGTCTTTTTCATTCTGCGAGAGAGCCTCGGGTGTTGGGGGCTTTGTGGTAGCAGTCACATTGACATGGATGTCATGTGTCGGCCCTAGGGTCAGTCTTTGCGTCTGCTTTGTCTTAGGGCTCAAGCCCTGCAGCCCCGCAGCCATGTACGTTTACCAGCTCATCGACAAGGCCGGATGTAGGTGCCAGAGGCTTTAAGGACGAAGCATATGGGTGACTGTCAAACTTAGGGTCCTTTTTGGATCCTTATTAGAATACGGCACCTAGTATTTAGGGTACCCAAAAAGGGACCTTAATTTTGACAACCACCCATATATGAAGCTTTAAGATCTCGGGCTTTTTGGGTTTAGGATTATCATTCCTTTGGGCCGGAGCTCAGACTAGTCTTACCCTAAGGGTCCATGTATCTAAATAGTATATACATGGGCCCTAAAGTACTCCCTATGTATGGGTACATTGGGCCCACAGTATATATACTATCTGGGTACATGGACCCTTAGGGTTATTGCTGCGATGACCACCATGAAAGGCCTAAACCTGCGAGACGCCATGCTCTAAACACCTTAACGCCAGAAAGCTCAAGGCCCTTACACATAGGCCCCAAAGTATAGTTCCCTTTTGGGATTACCTTATAGGATTTTATATACGAACCCCAAAAAAGGACTACTTTGAGGCCTTAGGGTAGTTCACATAGCCCAAACTCCCTGATGTGAGCCTTGACCAGAACAGAACCCAAAGCCCGTTGGTCTAGAAGACTTAGCCCTACAGTAGGGCTCCAACTCCGTAGTCTTAGTTGAAGCCCTGAACCCTAATACCCTCAACCCTAAACCCTAAATTAGCCCCTTTAAGCATCCAACCCTAAACTCGAAACGCCTAAACCCTAAACCCTTAAGCCTTAACCCTATAGATCTCAGACCCTGCAAGCTGTGGTCCCTAAACCGATACCCGTGAGCCCTCGAAGCTTAAGCGCCAAATCGAAGTCGTGACGCCACAAGCGCAGGAATTACCCTTCTTGGGGCGATTCAGTTCCGTGGCAACTGATTTGTTACGGGAGTTTCGAGAGGATCAGGGGCACCGTACGGCACTGGCTTGCTTCGAGACATCTCGATACTTAGAAGAGGACTTCGCAAGTAGGTTCTGACTGGAGTGCTTGAAGTCTGAGAAACCTAAGTAACCCTTCAACACCACAAATGTTGGGCCCTGCCGAACTGTAGTTAAAGCCTTCCTTCGAATTCGATTTTCCTACTCGGCGAATATGCTGAATCAAGACCTCGTCGATACCCCCGAGAGTCGTACGGCTGCTCGCACCGAACCGTATTACATAGACCTCTCCCTCACTGGCTACTTAGATGGTCGGGGACTTTGGAAGTAGTTGTTTTGTAGAGTTTTCAGGACCATATAACCTCTAATAATTAGGATCCCTTTCAGTTATAACTCTACTTTTCACTTACTTGAATTCTAAGTCTCTCGACCCTCCAAGAAGGGTAGAACGGAGCCCTGCTACCAAGGCTATCTCTTTCCTGCTGCTGCCTTCTTGGGCTTCGTCGCGTTAGAGGTCCACCTGACAGATAAAAGAAGACCAAAGCCCAACGTTCATGGAGTTAGAGCATGAGTAAGGTTTCGAGGAGGGTTTCGAGGAACGGGTGGAGTGCTTCGGGTCTCGGTTTAGGCTCTGGAACCGCAGGGGCGAGGGCCGTACATTGACTTGCATGTGAGTGTGCGCGTGCGCGTGCGTTTTCGTCAAAGACTTGGGATGGGACATGTGGCTTCGGCTCAGGCACGCGCACGCATTCTCGTATGCATCAGTTTCATGTATCCACATATACTTAATATAGCTACGAAAGACAGAGGGAGGAAAGTGTTGGTAATCCTGAATCATGCGAAGCGCGAACGTCAGCCTCCAATTATGTTCGACATGAGAAGCAACGACTCCTAGTCCTCAGCCTTACGTCATAAATCCCTTTTCATAAGTTCTGAAGCCTAAACCCTACCTTCCAAGCCCCTGATACCCTATGCTCCCAACCCCTGCAGGCCCTAAGTCCATCATAGGGGCCCCTAGAGGGGTAGGGAGAGGGGGCCCCCCTCCCCCCTTACCCCCGCTCATATTCCCCATGAATACAGGCCCTGAAGCCCGACACCCTGGGCCCAAATCCCTTTCACCCCGAGCTCCGATCCCCCAGACCCTACATTAACCTATACCAGAACCTAGATTTTGTTGTAGGTTCTTGTTGTGAACCAAAAAGCTTATAGGGACTCTACGAAACAGTAGGTTTTGGTAGGTTAAGGTGCACCCTAAACCGCTAGACTCTGCACTCTTTGCCGCCAGCCGAGGTCATCGTCCTGCAAGCTACGGGGCACTTTGCTTCTCAGCCAGCATCGCTAATCCCCAAACCTAGGGGTCCAACTGTCCAACGACCATCTAAACCATAAGAATCCTACCTCTTTAACCGTTCCTTCCTCCTTATCCTAGCCCCAATAAGGCAGGTTTCGCGGGCTGGGGGTAGATAATAGACCTTGAGCTGTCTATTACCTTTCGGGCCCCACAGAAACACAAGTTTGGGTTGGTTAACGTAAGGTCTTAAACCCTGACTGGTGTTCCTCTTCATGGCTTTGCTGCTTGAGCTGATGTTGTCTGCTGAGCCATTTTACTTCGTGTCCTAACCTCGCAAGCCGCGCACACAAAGAACTTAACGCATAAAGAGCCTAGCCACCCAGGAGCTGATAAAGAGAGCTGCAGTGAAATGGGGACTCTTGATTCTCACGTGCCTCGGCTAGCAAAGATGAACCTTGTCAGTGTGTTGGCCTTGGGACCCTATGATGTGAGGGTTTCGGGATGATCCCAGAGACTCCAATACCCCTAAATTAAGGACAAGTCCTTAAATCATATTAGGGGTCCTACTTTAATTTAAGGAATATTCCTTAATTAAGGGATATTGGAGTCTCTGGGATGGTCGGCCGGTGACAAGACCACTTCGTCACAACTTGCGACTCCGTGCGACTTGCAACCCCAAGCACCAGAGTGAACAGAGTGAGCCTCCAAAGCCGTAAGCCCTTAACCCTAAACCCGAAACCCTCCTTAAACCTTAAACCCCAAACCCTTAACCCTTAAACCCTAAACCCCTAAACCCTTAAACCCTTTAAAACCTTTAAGCCCTAAACCCTGAGCCCTTAAGCCTTTATCTTGGCAAACCTGAGCCCTTACAGGGAACTCCAGAAAGTTGGAATATGGTTTCTTGTCTTGGTAGGATACCCTATAATTTACCATTGAAGGGTGAGGATAATCATATTCCAACTTTCAGGCTTTTACCTTATCTTGGCAAACCTGAGCCGCGAGCCCAAAGCTGACGCCACCGGACTCCGGACATTCAGTCGAGAGGCCAGAGATTCCAATATTCCTTATAGCCAGAAAGTTGGAATATGATTATCCTAAGCCCTGTATGGTAAATTACATGGTCAATTATAAGGTATCCTACCCTGAAACCAAACCATATTCCAACTTTCTGGAGTTCCCTCTAATTTTAGGGTGTAGGGTTTAGGGATTTAAGGTTTAGGGTTTAGGATCCCTTGTATGACTTAAGGAATATTCCTTCATTTAGGGATATAGGAGTCTCTAGGAAGCCGACACCACGGGACAAGCGATGAATCTAAGTTCGAGCTATCCGGATCTAGGGATTGCGCTTCGGGGCTTGGGCTTCAGGGTTTGTTGGATGTAGGATGTGGGGCTTTGGGGCTTTGTCGTTTCGGCTTTGGGATTACATCGCTTTGGTTTTTGTTTTTAGGGATTTGGAGGCTTCCGGGCTGTGGGTTTCGAGGGATAGTGTAGTAGGCTCAATGTTCGAAGCGCCAAGCAGACATCTCAGGAGACAGAGCATCTATATCCTTACTTTAGCCAGTGTGAGAACTTCAAGCTTGTTTGCCTTCTTCTCCGATAAAACCCTTACAGAGCTTTATACTCTGAGCCGTGCAGGGTCAACGGCATGAAGCCTGGGTCATGGTGCAGCGACTGTCCGCACTGAGGACCGTGGTCACGATGGTTGCGCTCTTTTGGACCCTCTACATGAGGTAGGGCCTATACAGTTCGGGACCCTATAGGTCTTTACGGCTCTTACAAGGGCTTCAAAAAAGAGTCCTGCAAGGCCCTTCTAAGGGCTGTGGGCTCAATGTTTAGGGTATCTTGGACTCCTCTTGGAGTTCTGTGACGAGAGGAATGGCCATTCGGAATAATTCCCGAAGAGGAGATCCTAACCAATAAGGGACTCGGCTTCCTGCTATTCTCTGGGCAGGCGCGATCAGGCAAGTTTATGCTCCCTGGGCATATTGGCATGTATAACTGTATGCTTGGGGTGTTGCTATGGGGATGCTGGTAAACAACAGTTGCAAACGTAATTAACACAAGGCTCTCTGGTTATCCTGCGGAAAAGTGCAGGGAATGCATTCAACTCTCCGTGACCTTCGAGTAATGGGCGTAATGATTGAAGTGCTACTCCAGTTCTTTGGGACCCTCTCCGTCCACGTCCCTCCTAGATATTGTATCGTAGGCTACTGGGATCGGCTCTGGGTTGAATTATGGGAGTAGAATATTGTAGTAGGATACCTGAGGAATAGTATGAATAAAGAGAAGTATTTGGGCTTCTACGTTAGCTTTTTTTTCAGTTCTGATTGGATATAAGTGCTGCTACTGGCGAAGCCCGAAAGCCAAAGCCCACAGATCCTGTAAACTCGAAAACCCTAAACCTAAACCCTCAACCCTAAAACCCCAACCGGGTAATCCTAAACGCCAGGCCCAAAACTTAACGCCCTAAACCCCTCGATCTCAAGATCCGAAGCTGTCAGGCTCGAGGGGCTGTTCCGTGACTTGAGCATCCTCCACCTCCTTGACATGCAATCCGAAAGCAACACCGAGGAAGATGCAGAAATTAGGGTTTAGGGTTTAGGGAATAGGGCTCTTCTTACACCGAGGAAGACCCCGAGGGTTCAGGGAATAGGGTTTCTTAGTTGCTGTTGTAGGTGCTAAGGTCATGTGAGCTTGACTATACAGGGTTTGGTAGGGGTTTCCATGGGATTTCATATAGGGGTTTTGCAGTGACTGCTGTTCTCATGGATCCCGCAACACAATTTAACAGACAACGATCAGGCTGACCATACCACGACCCCACAAGGGCCCTTTAATAGAGTCCTTACAGTCCCTATTAGTGTGTATTTGGGGTAGATTAGAGGGTAATTGTGGGGTGCTGGTATTATAGCGGCCTGATTTTATTCCTCAGGGTTCTTCTTATACTATATTTATGCCATACTGGGTTCTATAATTTTTCAGGCCCCTACAGTAATAAGACCCGAATCTACGTTGTTGCATAGACCCAAAAGGTCCTAGTAATTCCTAGTATAGAAACCCTGCGCTCTACCATATGAGCATCCGTCAAAACTTCGACAATTGTAGTTAAGAGTAGGGTGACCGTGGAATGCCGGATCTTGCCGATTTCCTTGGAAAGTGATAGGAGGACCTGAGACCCTCACCCCCCTGGTCTGAAGGCTTGAAGGTTTTTTTGGGGGGATTACCTCAAGTACTTGAAGGCTTCAACTTCAGAAACGGGCTCAGGGGTTAACATAGGGGCGTTAATGTTATACTCTACGTAATTATAATAAGGCCCCCCCCCAAACAAATAGTATAGGTAGTTATTACGGCCCCTATAAGTTCGTGCTAAGGTTGCCGGTATAGGATCCTGAGGCGTGCGTTCGCCTTATTTGGGCTTGCAGTTTAGGCGCGCTGAGTGTGAGTGTACTATGCAGGTCTCCTTTGGAGCCTCCCAGGCGTTACCCTGCCTAATATTCCTCATCTAAAGAGTTCGAAGATAACCTTCAGCGCATAGTTTATGCAGCGCCGTGTAACTTAAGGTATATACATTAGAAGCTGCCCCCCTCGGTAATAGTGGTATACTAGGAATATAACAGGGCCCTATCATATGCCTATTATACCACTATTACCGGGTGGGGGTCCCTTCTAATACATACACCTTTGCGGAGGGATTTGGGTCTCTCAGCTCTACAACCAACTGCACTTGGAGGGTCGGGGGACTTAGTAAGGGCTCCTTTAAAGGGGATTCTAAGGGTTCCTTTAAAGGGCTCTATAAGGGTACTATAGGGTTTAGGGTTTAGGGTTCAGGGACTTAGTGAGTAGGTAGTAAGTAGACTTATAAGTACCCTAAAAGGGACCCTAATTGGGGTGATGGTACTTATAAGTCCCAAAAATAACCAGTTACTAACTCCCCCGACCCTCCAAGCAGGACCTCCAAGAGCTTCGCCAACAGATGGCCCACCGAAGCAAGATGTTCGAACGACTGCCTTTACCTCAGCAAACCCTTCGGGTCCACGTATATGCTCATATATAGTATACCTGTAGCCGGAAAGACCTACCTTTTTAGAAAATCCCAGTTCAGGGCAATGCCCTACAGTAGAAGCCCAAAAGTTGGAAACCCTATAGCCTCAATCCTCAAGAGTAATGTATACGGGATCCCAGCACTATTTGTCCTTAATCCGGTTCCAACTTTTTGGTGTTTACTGTGAGCTTTTTGGATCTCTCACGAGTCCCCCGCACGCAATGAGACAGGTCACTTCTCATCGTGCCGAGGCCCAAAACCAAAGCCCGAAAAAAAATGAAACACCTACCTTATTTTAGGGTCCTTATAATAAGTATCCGATTATTTAGGGTACTATATTTAGGTCCCCTGAACCTTAAAATTTCCCAGGTAGCCCGACAAGATACTTGCCCCTGACTTTCCAAGACAGCTCCTCTTGAGGAGCCCTACCCTCCGACAAGAAGCTGAAAGCAGCTGCCCAATCTTAGGGAAAGACCTCATTTCCGGCGTCTGGGCTCGGAGCAGCAGATGGCACCGGCAGTAACAGCAACAGCCGATCCACAGATATCCAAAGTCCTAAACTCTAAGCCCTTTGACCTGTAACGAGACACTGTAAGGGCTTAAACCCAGAACGTTCCTTCCACGAAATCTATGCAAAGGCTTTTTGTATTCTACATTCTCACGGTGGCCTCTGTGTCAGTTGCAACACTGTGAACCAAGCCTTCTCGTCAGTAGCTGACTAAGTAGGTAACCTTTAACGTTTTGGGGTCTGAATAATCCTGCCATAATTGAAAAAGGTCCTCAGCCAGCAAGCTAGCGAAACGCCCAAACCCCTAAACGCTAATAACCCGTATAGAACTTATACTGGGCTTTGGAGTACCATACTTTAATACTTTTTTTCTTACTGGAACCATTATGAAAAAAAAGTTTATACTTTTTTCTCCCTGGTTACTTAAAAGCCCAGTATAGAATCAGAACCCTTAACTAACCCGGGTACTCAGCTCCTAAGTCTCAGTTTGCTTAGGCGGTACTACAGTCCGCTGATCGTCTGGCTATGCTTCATTTGCCTGGAGATCGCGGCCTGCTTAAAACTGTTAAGGGTTTTAAGGACACCTTAACCTCCCAAAACCTACTTTTTTGTAGGGTCCCTATATTTTCCATATTAGGGTTTATATATATAATAAGAACCTACAACAAAGTAGGGTTTGGTAGTTTAAGGTAGGGAATAGGGTTCATAGTCGGGATCTATAGTCTATAAGTTTCAACTAGGGTGTTGGGTTTACTACTGCGTTTGGAGTTCAGGGTTTCTGGAGCACCAGCGCGATTCACACCAAGTTCGGGTGCGGCAAAGTACTGTAGAGTTTACACTGACTTCGGGCTAGGGCCGGCAGGCACGATTTAGGGGTCTAGGGTCTAGGGGACTTCGGCGAGATCTCGGTTAAGTTGAAACTGCACGAGCCGCGGAACCACTGGGGTCTGCCTACTGGGGGGGGGGCGCCTCACTTGCTGAGTAACCTAAGCGGCTTTCCCCTAGGCCCTAGACGTAAGAACCCCGTAGTGCTGCAGCCCTATTTTTGGACGAACGAATTTACCTTAAACCGTAAACCTAAATCTCAACTTGTTGAGAAGGTGCTCCTCTGGCAACTTGGATACCTCGATGAGCTTGCGGACCTCGGCGTGCTTGGCTGTGATGGGTTTAGGGTTACTATAGGGTTTAGGGTGCGGCCCCCACTCAGTAATAGTTGCATAATATTCATAATATGGTTATATTAGGACCTTAATAGTAGCCTTAATTATTATAGACTCAATTACTGTAAGGGGGCCGTACCTAAGTTATAGGGTTTAGGGTGCGTAGGTTTCAGATGCCAGGCATCAGTCTGAAGGAGTCCGAGGCCTGAAACCTTAAACTGCAACCTAAACCCAAATTTACAACCTATGCTTAAAATCCTATAACCAGGATGCCCAGTAGTTATAAAGTTACCCAATACCAAAAAGAGAGGCCTTTTTATTCTTAGGTTACTGGGTATCCTAGATAAGGTAATCCCAAAAAGGAACTAAACCAGAACTAAACCAGAACCCCCCCCCCCCACCCAAATGGCCCTTGAATGGAGCCCTGATGGTCCTTGCTGGTCGGTATTTACGGCATATTACTTGGAGGGGCAGGGGACTTAGTAAGTAGGTTATAAGTAGAGTTATAAGTACCCTAAATGGAGTTACCCCAATTATAACCCTACTTATAACCTACTTACTAAGTCCCCTGCCCCTCCAAGTAGTGCATAGTTGGGGGGTCTAAGAACGTAAGCTGCAAGCTGGTGTCCGCCGGGAAGCCCAATTTTTGCAGGACCAAGTGATCGAGTATGGAGTTCTCGGTGTGACGGTGGTGGCGCCTTGGCTCTGTATCTTTCACAAGATACAGGCTTGGGGCGCCGGGTTCACGGGTGAGGGGTTTCAGGATTAGGGATTAGGGGTTTATAGGGGTTTAGGGTTTAGGGGTTTAGGGTTTAGGGCTCCTTTAAGGGATCTATAGGGGTACTATAAGGGTTTACGGTTTAGGGTGAGGGCTTTACGATTGGGTGTTCAGGGCTCTAGGTTGGCAGCAGTTGCGGTTCTGAGTAGCAACCCCAGTGGGTGCATGTGCCCATACAGTATGTAATCAAAGTATACTGTCCCATAAATGCAGTAGTCCCATGCAGTCCCTATCTATGTAGTTAAGGGCCACAGTATGTATACATATACATATATGTATATAGATTTGTATTATATTGATATCTCGACCTTGTAAGGAATACGGTTCATCGACAACAGCAACATCATCTAATCGATCAAGCATCAGGCTCGGCATAGTACAAACGCAAACTGTTCATGCACGCCAAGACCAAATAAGGGCGCGGTTAACCAGAGCTCTACGGCTTCATGCACCTATTCAGCTTATAGACTGTTCATAACGTACCTTGGGCTTCAAAAGGCTTTCCATAAAGTAAGTCTTATAAGTCGAATGTATGCACCCTCTATGTGCATGGTCTCTTTCGGTAACGATATGGATCTTCCGACCCTAAACCCAATTTTTAAACTCCCAAAATTCCACCCCAAAAAGGCTTTGGTCTTCACTGGCTTCACTACAGCCTACATCCGCGTGGAGGGAATCTTCACTGATCTTTTCCATCTTGGGACGAAGCGGCTCGGACCGTCCTGTGGTTCAGAGTCTGGAGAAAAAAGAGGTTTAGGCCTTCTATGCTGCGTTTAAGGGAGCGGGAAGACGTGGAACTAGGGCCAAGATTAAGTAGTGTCTTGGGGATGCACACACGTAGCTGTCAAGTTTCAAGCCTGAGAGTCCATGAATAGTGTGGCAGACAGCAGTTCTAGGATTTAGGCTTACTCTAAAGGCTTAAAGTAAAAGCCAGCAAGTTGGAATATGATTATCCTAACCCTTCTATTGTAAATTATAGGGTATCCTACCATGAAACCATATTCCAACTTTCTGGAGTTCCCTTTAGGCTTACTCTAAAGGTTTAGACTTCCCACCCCCGTGCCCTGCCAAGGAACCTCCACGACGTGGAGGCTATCATCAAAAAGGCAGGTCACAGATTCAACCTTTGGCAGTTTAGCAGCCTAAGCTTTCGGAAAGTTCTTCTAAGTGTCTTGTAACAGTCTTGTAGAACTCTTACGATGCTTCTGGGATTTTTTATTTTTGTTTTCCTATGCCACATCATGCCAGAGTCCAGACACCAACTCAAGCCTGCACATCAAGAACGGGTATAGGTATAGGTATAGACCTTTTAGGGTTCAGGGTTTGGGGGGGGGGTCCGGGTTCCTAAGATAGGCAGCCCAGAACTGGCCAGAAGGACCCCGATAGTCTAATGTAGGGGCTTAAGTAATTGCCTATGCCATTTTGGGGGGTTCCTTCTTATAAGTCTGTACAAATTATAGCGAGGTCAGCGACGAGGTCAGTCCAGAATTAAGACAATTAGCGACCTGACGAGGTAGAAAAATTAGTTAATTTAGTAGCTAAAGCTAAACGAGGCCCCGGATGACCCAAATCGTGCGAATTAGACAGCAATTCGCCAAACTCGCCGGCTGGGCTGGTTTCGGGCTGGGTTGGGGCAGGGGCCCAAATCGTGCCAAGCAGGGGCCAGGTGCAAATCGTGCGAATTAGACGCTAATTTGCTCAAATTCCGAAGGCTGGGGTGGGAGGCAGGGCCAGGCGCAAATCGTAGACGCAAATTCCGAAGGCTGGGGGGAGGCAGGGCCAGGCGCAAATCGTGCAAATTTGACGCTAATTCGCCTAAAACTCACCGGCTGGGCTGGTTAGGGCTGGGCTGGGGCAGGGACCCAATCGTGCGAATTAGGCGCTAATTTGCTCAAATTCCGAAGCCTGGCGCTGGGAGGCGGCCGGCAAATCGTGCGAATTAGGCGCTAATTAGCTCAAATTGGGCTGGGCTGGGGCAGGGGCCCAAATCGTGCGAATTAGGCGCTAATTTGCTCAAATTCCGAAGCCTGGCGCTGGGAGACGGCCAGGCGCAGATCGTGCGAATTAGACGCTAATTCGCCCAAAACTCTCCGGCATAGGCAGAACTGGGCCTGCCACACTTGCTCAAGTGTTTGTGCGGGGCAGGCGCCAGTTTAGGAACTATGCCCTCGCCGCCTGTGTAAACGTCTGCCTCCGAAGCTCTTCTGGAGAAGGTCACGGGCTCAATCCTTGGTGGTGTCATGCAATCCCTTCCCCCACCCTCATTCGAGATTTTGGGGTGACCTGAAGCATCGGGGCTCTCCCCAAACTCACCGGCTGGGCTGGGTTAGGGCTGGGCTGGGCAGGGGCCCAAATCGCGCGAATTAGGCGCTAACCTGGGGCTGGGAGGGGCCAGGCGCAAATCGTGCGAATTAGACGCTAAACTCGAAACCCTAAGCCCAAAGCCCAGCCTTGACGAGGCACCCCAGAATTAGCCAAATTAACGCGCGAGGTAAAGCCTGAAATTAATGAGATTTAAGCGACGAGGTCAGGCCCGTGAAATTTATTAAATTATTCTAATTTGTACAGATAAGTATAGTATAGTGGGCCCCAGAACCTTACTCCAATTATTAAGGCCCCTCTCTGAGATAAGCCCGAGACAGGTGGTGCGTTTCGAAAGCTGCCGGGGATTCTGGCGTTGCAGCCTCTTGCCTGAGCATCAACACCTACGTCAACTCATAAACTCCTGTATGAAACTCCAATCCAAACCCAGAGCACAACCCGTGAGGGCAGTGCCTGTTTCAAGCCCTTCGTATCTTGTGCCATGTGAAGTCTGATACATCCTGTCCCGGATCCCCCCTGCCGACAAAACAAACGTCCAAAAGTGCTCTTAGAACATGCAACAGCTTCTTGAGACAGCCACTCGAGGCTACGTGAGAGCCCTATAAGCCGTGAACCCTGAACCTACTAGAGATCGAACAACCAAAACCACCGGGTGCAGGACCCTGAACCCTACTATAGATCCCTTAGAGTACCCCTTTGAAAGACCCCTTTTAAAGGGAAACTTATGCTAATGATTAAGGCCCCTATATCCGGGTCAGGCCAGCCTTGCAAGCGACGTGTCTTAGGGCTTAGGGTTTGGGGTTTAGGGTTCAGAGTGTATGCAAAGCGATGGACATCGTATCATCGTATCGGCTAAGTTTACGTGATGGAGTTTATTTATACCCGTAGATTGTTATTGCCCCCGAATCCACTGTAAAGGAACTCTGTGTGAGGCTTCAGTGATTGGGTACCATGTCGGTAACGAGACCCCGCGACCCTTAGCCTGGAGGACGTAAACCCTGCTAGGATGCCCAGTAGTACCCTTATTCCCTTTTTGTAGTCCTAGGTTCCTTATTATAAAGTTACCCAATACCAAAAAGAGAGGCCTTTTTATTCTTAGGTTACTGGGTATCCTAGCCTGAATGCTGAATCACGTGGGTAAGCACTGCACCTAAACGGCTGAAGCGTATCTTATCAGAGACCTGTACTCCTAAGTGCTCATCATTCCAAGGGTAAAAGGAGGGACCCTTAATAAGGACCCCTAGGTATATACCCTTAATATAGCCATTATATACCCATTGTATGGCCCAGAATAGGGTACGGGTCCCCATTACGGGTCCCTCCTTTTCCCCTTTGAATCATGTTCTCAATGTGCACATGTGCGACAGTGGATATATTATGTGGTTATTCTACTCAAGCGAGCCAGCGTATCTATAGCATGAACGTGTTGAGGCATGTGGGCTTAAACTGTTTCAGCTTCACTACGTACTGCTTCTCGTACACACCTTCGGAGACTTTCGACAAGGTGTGGCCAAAGCTGCACAAGTAAATCGTTGGAGAAGAGCGTATTGTTCTTCGGGCTTTAGGGGTTCAGGGTTTAGGTGTTAGGGGTTTTGGGTTGATGTTGTTAGAGCTAAGTTTAGGGTTTGGGCGTTAGGGAAGCTCTGCCAAGGATGAAGATCAAGGCCAACATGGCGCCTTCACCAGGGACGAAGAATTCGATCTGGCACGGTTCACAGAGGTTTGTCCTGTGATTTTCACAGTCTCACTTTTCAAACTCAGTAGCAGCAGCATCGGCAGAAGCGTGTTTCCATGGTACCTTCTACCAATGTTTTCTGATCAGCAGGTACCCTTGGGAAACAAAGCGCGCGTCACAACAAGCAAGAGCATGAGCCGACTTCACATCTTCAACTAGCGCCGTCTTTCAATCATCATCAGAGTCATTCACTGCTACGAACAAGCACGAGAGGTAAGGTCACCTTTCTGCCACAACCACCAGTTCGAGGTGTGGTGGGTACCTAGTAGTGGAGTAGGTAACCTTTAACCATTTTTGCGTAGTTTAGTCCCTATATAATGCCAATATAACCAAGAAGGTTAACCTTTAGTTCCCCATCATACCCGACAAGTAGTGGTACAAGGGTCAGGGGCCGCTGCCTACACTGGGCGAGTTACAGTATCGCATTCGCCAGCGTCAACAGCGACGCGTATCTGCGCACCCGAAGCACGCGTGAACCGATTGATGACCGGCTGAAGCGAGCAATCTTCTTATTGTGCGCGCTATTTAATTTGACTGTTGTCACGGTGTCATGAACACTTACCAGGGAACCTGCTCGTCCGACGGGCATGTGAGCAGCCAGCATGTGCAGCAAATTGCCTGGTGCTGACTCGCCCTCCGAAGATCATGTCAAAGTCGCATGTGAGACGGACTTGCGGTGCACGAAAAGCAAGGCTAAATATTAAATAAGCCGAACAGCAGGATGTGTGTGTGTGTGTGTGTGTGTGTGTGTGTTTTTTTGTGTCGGGTGACTTCGTTTTGGAACCGACACTGCCCTTCGGCTGAAAACAGTGCCTGCATGCTGAAAGCAGGTTACTGATCAGAAGGACGAAGGCAAGCAACGATGTGAGCATTACGACGGTGATGATGACGACGTTGTCGATGATGACGATTTTGCTGACAGTGATGGTGCTGGTGATCTTGATGATACTGATGTGACCGAAGTATGGCAATGATGTTGATTGTTACTCTGAGGCTGTTGCCGTAATGCGAGCACGTGATTATTAAAGGTCCCCTCAATAGAGCGAAACTCGGCCCGGAACTCAATAATGAAAAGTCCCCTCACAAGCGCGAAACTCGGCCTGCACGAAATAATAAACCCCCCCAATAGTCCCAAAACCCGTGCCGGCGTTGTTTTTTTTTAGGTTTAAGTAAATAAGCATCCTACTACACAGTGACGCCCTGGAAGAGGAGACACACTACTGTACTCCACTGTACTAGTGTACTACTACTGTACTACTATACTACTGTACTACTGTACTCAGCTGTACTACTGTACTGCTATTGCACTACTGTACTACTGTAGTACTGTACTACTACTTAACTGTAGTACTACGGTTGATGATATAGATCCTGCTTGACCCATAATTTGGAATATACCATTATTCCCATAGTTTAGGGTCCTTAAGGTCATGCAGGAGTTATATAGATCATCAACAGTACTGAGAGCCCCGGCCCCCAAGCAACTTCGACCCCGGCCCCCCCAAACAACTATTCAACTAAAGATGATTACCTACCTTTTCCATTGTGTGGTCTGGGTTGTTCAGGGGCAGGGGTTAATAATCAGGAGACTACATTAGCACGTACAGCCTTGACGATGATAACGTTGGGGATGTTGCGATAAGCTAACAAGGGAACAGTACTAACACTAGTGGTGCCAGTGCTACAATATGTGCGTATGTGAAACCGTAGAAAACCGCCCGCGAAGAGACCTAGACCGGCAAAGCCCCACTGGACAGCAAAATGGCCCAAGACTACAGACGAAGGTCTAACACATAAGCGCCCCTTACAACGCTAAAACCGTTTCGGGTTTAATTTTGGCTGGGATTGCCCAGAGCACGATTCAAGCGACCCGTGTGTAGGGTTTGCTATTTATACTACCATTGATGTCAGTCTCACGACTTATACTTGTTTCCTTGCTATTTGTAGTATTGTTGTCAGCTCTATTGTTGTTGTTATGTTTGTTGTTCTTCCTGCTACGGTTCTTTGCATATACATCAAACTTGTGTGCAGATATACACATGCCAAGGACCCACCGTTAAAACTGTCCATCTACGGGTTTAGTTTCGACTTACAGGGAGGGCTTGGTTCAGGGACTCCGGTAAACCCTAAGCCCTAAAGTAGTTCCTTTTTGGGATTACCTAAAAGGGTTCTATATATGAACCCACAAAAGGAACTACTTTGGGGCCTTAGGGTAAACCCTAAGTTGCTAAGCCACGAGTCGAGCAAGTATTGTTCAAGGCAGCGCCGCTGTCTCCGAGGACATGCTGACTTTGCTAGGGGCCCAAAAAGCACATAAGGGTACGGCCCCCACTCAGTAACAGTTGGATGATATTCATGATATAGATATATAAGGCCCTAAATAGTAGCCCTATTATTGACTGTTACCGTATGGGGGCGGTACCCAACACATAAGCATAAGCATTCTATGGGGATTGGGGATATCCCTATCCTTCTGTTTGCTTATGTGCTTTTGAGGGGCCCCATGCTGACTTTGGCCCGTCAGTAGCAAGCAGATCTTGTAGGGTATTGCGATCCCTACATGGGTAGTTCTGTAAATTGGGGTTCCCATTTTAAGGTTCCCCAAATAGTACGATACCCTTATAAAAATGACCCTAAAAGGGACCCTGAGCTTGAGAACTACCCATATAGACTCCACCACGACCCACTTAGAACCACACAAGGCTCCAATTGCCTACCTTTTCAGCCCACGTAGCCTCTGTGACGCGTATCTGCGCACCCGAAGCACGCGCGAACCGATTGATGACCGGCTGAAGCGAGCAATCTTCTTATTGTGCGCGCTATTTAATTTGACTGTTGTCACGGTGTCATGAACACTTACCAGGGAACCTGCTCGTCCGACGGGCATGTGAGCAGCCAGCATGTGCAGCAAATTGCCTGGTGCTGACTCGCCCTCCGAAGATCATGTCAAAGTCGCATGTGAGACGGACTTCCGGTGCACGAAAAGCAAGGCTAAATATTAAATAAGCCGAACAGCAGGATGTGTGTGTGTGTGTGTGTGTGTGTTTGTGTCGGGTGACTTCGTTTTGGAACCGACACTGCCCTTCGGCTGAAAACAGTGCCTGCATGCTGAAAGCAGGTTACTGATCAGAAGGACGATGGCAAGCAACGATGTGAGCATTACGACGGTGATGATGACGACGTTGTCGATGATGACGATTTTGCTGACAGTGATGGTGCTGGTGATCTTGATGATACTGATGTGACCGAAGTATGGCAATGATGTTGATTGTTACTCTGAGGCTGTTGCCGTAATGCGAGCACGTGATTATTAAAGGTCCCCTCAATAGAGCGAAACTCGGCCCGGAGCTCAATAATGAAAAGTCCCCTCAGTAGCGCGAAACTCGGCCTGCACGAAATAATAAACCCCCCTCAATAGTCCCCAAACCCGTGCCGGCGTTGTTTTTTTAAGGTTTAAGTAAATAAGCATCCTACTACACAGTGACGCCCTGGAAGAGGAGAGACACTACTGTACTCCACTGTACTAGTGTCCTACTACTGTACTACTGTACTACTATACTACTGTACTACTGTACTCAGCTGTACTACTGTACTGCTATTGCACTACTGTACTACTGTAGTACTGTACTACTACTTAACTGTAGTACTACGGTTGATGATATAAATCCTGCTTGACCGGCCATAATTTGGAATATACCATTATTCCGATAGTTTAGGGTCCTTAAGGTCATGCAGGAGTTAGATCATCAACAGTACTGAGAGCCCCGGCCCCCAAGCAACTTCGACCCCAGCCCCCCCAAACAACTATTCAACTAAAGATGATCACCTACCTTTTCCATTGTGTGGTCTGGGTTGTTCAGGGGCGGGGGTTAATAATCAGGAGACTACATTAGCACGTAGAGCCTTGACGATGATAACGTTGGGGATGTTGCGATAAGCTAGCAAGGGAACAGTACTAACACTAGTGGTGCCAGTGCTACAATATGTGCGTATGTGAAACCGCAGAAAACCGCCCGCGAAGAGACCTAGACCGGCAAAGCCCCACTCGACAGCAAAATGGCCCAAGACTACAGACGAAGGTCTAACACATAAGCGCCCCTTACACAGCTAAAACCGTTTTGGGTTTAATTTTGGCTGGGATTGCCCAGAGCACGATTCAAGCGACCCGTGTTTAGGGTTTGCTATACTACCATTGTCAGTCTCACGACTTATACTTGTTTCCTTGCTATTTGTAGTATTGTGGTCAGCTCTATTGTTATTGTTATGTTTGTTGTTCTTCCTGCTACGGTTCTTTGCATATACATATATACAGACATCAGTTTCATCCAACTTGTGTGCAGATATACACATGCCAAGGACCCAACGTTAAAACTGTCCATCTGCGGGTTTAGTTTCGACTTACAGGGAGGGCTTGGTTCAGGGACCCCGGTGAACCCTAAGCCCTAAAGTAGTTCCTTTTTGGGATTACCTAAAAGGGTTCTATATATGAACCCACAAAAGGAACTACTTTGGGGCCTTAGGGTAAACCCTAAGTTGCTAAGCCACGAGTCGAGCAAGTATTGTTCAAGGCAGCGCCGCTGTCTCCGAGGACATGCTGACTTTGTTAGGGGCCCAAAAAGCACATAAGGGTACGGCCCCCACTCAGTAACAGTTGGATGATATTCATGATATAGATATATAAGGCCCTAAATAGTAGCCCTATTATAGACTGTTACCGTATGGGGGCGGTACCCAGCACATAAGCATAAGCATTCTATGGGGATTGGGGATATCCCTATCCTTCTGTTTGCTTATGTGCTTTTGAGGGGCCCCATGCTGACTTTGGCCCGTCAGTAGCAAGCAGATCTTGTAGGGTATTGCGATCCCTACATGGGTAGTTCTGTAAATTGGGGTTCCCATTTTTAGGTTCCCCAAATAGTAC